TAAATTCGGCGGTTTCACACTCACACACTCATACACACACACACGCCCACCTTTGCTCACGCATGAAGGCCCTGCCGTGACCTCGGCAATAAAAACACTAATTCAAGCAGCCAAAGAGAAAAGCCTCCCTCTGACCTGCGGTATGTAGTGTTTAGCGGTCTGCAGTGGTTCTCCTCATGGGATGAAAGAGAGAAATGCATGTCGGAATCTGATAAGACAAATAGAACTTTTCCCAAACCCGACAAGCCACCCACTTTGTGACAGTCACTTTCTGGCCTAACCCCCTTTCTACCTCTAGGACCTCTGCATATTTTTGCAGGCTCTGATTATTCTCAGGCGTCTGTTTTTGGCGTTTGAAAGCACCTCAGTGGCTTGATAACTCGTAAGGCTCATTTACCCCAACAAGCACGGCATGTACAAGATCTCCCGACAAAGTGAAACAGAACAACGCAAGTAAATGGGTTGAGAAAACGGTTTCCTCTTTGGGCGCAGTGGAACCAAAACTGGACTTTCCCCTTTCTTTGAGGATTCCAGAAATGTGAATCATTCCTAAATGCCCCTGACTATATGACGGGGTTAGTAAAGTGAATGCCTCTTTAATTCAGTGATGGACAACAAGCCTTTGCCAACAGGCCTGCCCACTTCTTTCTCTCCCCCTCCGACACGCCCCCATCTCTCGCTCTTCCTCTGTTTGGGTCAACAGGGCCATCAGAAGGTCACTTGTCCTTTATTCTCCTGCCGAAAAAGAGGTCATATTTCATCACACCACTACAAACGCGAACAGATGATTCAGGATCTGTGAGGCTCTGTTTAAACATTATAAGCTGTCTTACTTGTTGGAGGAAACACTTTTGGTGTCTTGTAGTATAAAATTCAGATTAGTTGGTTCCCTGGGTAGGAGAAAGCTAACAGATGATTTGAGTGGAATCAAGACCAATCGCCAAACTATCCTACCTTTAAATTATCATCACATTTCCAATTGGATGGTTATTTGAAGAGAATTGTATAATTATTTACGCAGAAAATGAATGTAGGAAGTTCTTTCTGTGGAAAACGGAAAAGAACATTTGAAGGATTTTTGGTCAAAACTGTTTTTATTTTTACACTGCTTCACTTTTCTATTAGGCAGTTATTCTGATAGAAAATATTATTTTCTTCTCAGTACATGTTTCTAGCAGGAAGACAATCAGTGGTGCGCCGCCTCCTACCTCCAATTTGCATATAAATAATAAATCTTCTTTGGAAATAACCACGATATTCACATTTCACAACAGCTTAAAGGTGCATAAAAATAAACATTTGCGTTAACTGCTTTTACGATTTTGAGACTGTAGTTGTTTCACTACAGTTTAGGCCCAGTTTGGTCACGTTAACCGTTCGCTTCATAGTTTCGGACCAACCAATCTGGACCTAAACTAAATGGAAACATGAGAGCGTCAGAAACCCGCGTGTTCCCCTGTCGGATGTGACAGAGTCAACAACGTTCAGCAGGAAGAGCTTCATGGACGGACTGAGGAATGAGGAGAATGCCCACATAACAGGCTGTTTTATTCTCAGGGTGGGGGGAATGAAACAGCTTGGCATCTCAGGGCTGGGTGGCGTGCACACAGAGAGCCTTTCACTAATTATCAATAGAGAGTGTCCCGATGGTCGGCCGCTCGATCTCACTTTACTCTTTCAGTTGCTCAGCCCGTCAGAGTTTCCCATGGTGCTCTCCAATCGGCGAAGCCTTTACTTGGTTGCCATGTATGTGCTCACGTCTGAGTGTTTCTGACCTTTTCTTCGCTTCTGCTTATTTGCATTTGAATCCCCCCTCCAGAAGTAGCCGAGGGACAGAAAAGATGGCGAGGGTCCAGAGGAAGAAAATCCTTTCGAGATTTCCATGAGAGAAAGCGCAGTCCCATTTCTAAACTTCTTTTAATTAAAAAACCTGCATGTAAACTCAGCATGTGCATAGTAGATGCTTTGTCTACGGTATTATTTGTGGCTATGTGTCACTGAGCCACAAGACACACACATGAAGATACAACCCATATTTGCTGTGGAATCGGCCGGTCTTAAGTTCTGCTCACCGTCCTGCCCTGCTTTGGTCCGCCTGCGATTCTGTGCTCACCTAAAGTTAACCCTGCATGGTGTGTGGACAGCTTGGTTCTCAGACACCACCAATGCCTGGCCCAGCCCTGTGTGGGCCCACCAGCAAGCCTACTGAAACCCTCTGCTGCATACTGTTTATGCAGGTGTCTGGCTGAGTGACCATCCCGTCCATTTGCCCTTTGGTAACCACTGCGGAGAGAAACATTAGAGAGACAGAGATGTTTTAACTTACACTTAGACATCCAGGTATTTCTGCTCCTTTTTTTTTTTTTTTTGACAAAGCCATGATAGAGGATGAATGTGTAGCTTAAAGCAGCTTGGTATTCCCAGAAGGGAATACCAAGCTGTCTTTGTCAACTGGCTGAATTTTTTTCTTTCTTATTATAGAAATATTTTGTTCTTGTCTTTGGAAACATTTAGATTCGGAGATGAAGGGAAAGATTCATTTGCTTTAGGAAATACACCAAGTAGTTTATCTTTAGTTACCCAAAAACTACCACTTAAGATCTCCTTGACATCAACATATGCTACTTTGCCTCGTAGCAAAGAGTTTGTATGTTGAAGCCCGTGCATGAGTTGGTTCCTTCTGGGCACCCAGTATTATGTAAGCCAAAATCTCCCTAGAAGTGTGTGTTGGGCGCACGGTTGTGTGTCTCTGTGTTTTCCCCCTTTGTGGTCAGTGGTCCGTTCCATCTCCCATTCCACATCCACACCCGAGAACTCATTATCACCGAATTAGATTTGCCCGTAACATCAGGTTTCACTTTATTTTCCTTTGGGCTTTAGCCACAATACTATTGACAGAGCCTCAGCGTCCACTCACTGATGTGGTACGCACCTGAGACAACATCTCCCCTTCTCTCCAGGATGAGAGTCTGGGAGCTGAGAGCACACATCTCACCGGCGCGCTAAAGAAATGTTCATCTGAGTGGTTTCTGGTCCGTGTTGTGTTTTCACAGAACAAACCTGCAACATAATCTTCCAGTCCGATCGCTGGCGTAGACGACACATGCGGTTCTTGGCCGAATTAGGTGCTTTCATGATCAGATCTCTGACTTTAATTCTAATGTTTAGAAAGCCCCTGTGTGTGATTTGAACTAACCACACAGCTGTGGGCAGACACTCTCTCTGGGCAGACATCGAATGTATATACTGGTGTGTCTGCTTGTGGCTCGTCGGGATGCCTTCATGTCTTCTGCTCGCTCTGTTTTTATGAGTAACTTACGGTCACGCGCATCCACGCCAAAACATGTTCTCATGCGAAAAATGTTCCAGACTCGGGTGGGCTTGCTTTTGTTTTTCTTGGGTTTCACACTTTTTAAATCACCTCATGGAAATCTTTTGAGGCCCAGGCCAGAGTTTGTTCGACCGTACGCGTTTCGCTTTTATTGGAGACATGTTTTTTTTGCTTCTTTCTACTAATTAATGTGTCCGTTTGTGTGCATGTTGGTGTTGGTGCATGTCATGTCTTGAAATTTTGTTTGAAAGAGGTTTTAGAAGAAAATAAGACACAATAACTCTCCAAATTAGTCTCTGAGCTATTGGTTGGGGGGAAAAAAAGTGGACAGATTTGTTAGCATTCTTAGTAAACACTTATAAAGCTTGAAAATAAATTCCTCTCAAGTCTGTATTTCCCCTAGGGTTTTTTTTTTTTAAACCGCAGCCTTTAATTATTGTACATTATTTCACTGGATAATAAAAGAAAAAGCTGTTTTTAATCAGAAGTGGCACCATTATTGGTACATTTTTTTTTACAAGCCCTTTCAGCCAATGGGACTGCTTCTTCTGTAGCACTGCACAAAGTTTAAGAGAATAATGTCTCATTTCTTTAGACTCTGTAGCTTATCCAGAATCATATCTTTTTTCCTCTGATCTTTTTGCAAAAAAAAAAAAAAAAATTATTTAACCGGAATAAGAGAAAGTTGACTTTTGTGTCTGGTGAACCATTTCTGTCGATTGCGCCACATGTTTGGATTGTTTTCAAGTTGAAAAACCCAGCGATTATCTGTTTTTATTGTTCCGCCAAAGGCCGGCAGCTTTGTATTTAAAATTTGCTGGTAATTCAAACTAATCGTGACACTCTGTGCCGTTACAGGGTCCCCAGGGCCTTTGGGATAGAACAAAACACAGTGTCCACAGTGGACACGAGGTGCTTGTCCAAATAGCCATCCTTTGTTTCACATCAAACCCACCTGAAGCGTTTGTTGTCAAAATAGCTCAGTCTGAGTCTTATCTAACCACTGTAAGTGACGGCCAGATAAATGTGGGTTTTCATCCAGGCCTTGTGGGCGGCGGCCAGGAGAAACGACACTGTCACGTCTCATTTAGACATAAGGGAAACAGAAAGTTGTGGATTATTATGAGAAGATCCTAGATAATTTGCAACGTTTTTGAAACAGACAAAAGACGCCTGAAAGCGTTTTGCACATCCTCACCAGAGATACCTGGATTTCTCTCTAAAAGGCCTAGCGAACTGCAGCGCTGGCTTCAGACCATCTCCGTCAAATTAAACCATTAAGTCATGGCTCGACTGGCGTGTCGACGAGCTTCTGTTGTCCTAATAGCTGGGCCCGTGGGTCTGTTTGTTCAGTCAGAGGGGAGTGATCCTAGAGGATCAACTTCAGCACTTAAATGGCTTGTCAACAATTGCAGCAGCAGAAAGTCTGCTGAGTCAACAGCTTTTTAAAGTGAAGCTCAAACACGCGTGTGAAGGTTTATATGTGTTAATGTTTGTTTTAACGGTATTCTTTTCCCAACAGCTTACAGGTAAGTGGATCTGACACTGAATAAATTCCCTGTTAGGTGTGTCCAGAGCCAGACTTGCACAAAAGCGTGTGTGTATGTGTGAGTTCATACCTCTATCCATATGTGTGTGTGTGTGTGTGTGTGTGTGTGTGTGTGTGTAGCTATGCTGCCGAGCCTGGTTCTGCATCGTTCATCTGTTCGTCCATACCAGAGGGGGTTCTACTGCAGTGACTCCAGCCTGAAATACCCCTACAAGAGGAGCACCGTGCCCTCTTCAGTGCTGGTTTCTGTTGGTCTGACACTGCCCATGGTGTCCGTAAGTCCCCCCCCCCCCGACCCGGCACCGACCTTTGGGCTTTTTTTTTTTACTTCCTGATGCCACAAAGACCTACCAGCCGTGGAGAGCAATCGAAACAGAAACAGGGAGGGCTCGAGGCTCATGATGTAGCTGCAGAGGAGTGACGGTGCTAAAGTTTTATCAGATGCTCATCGTAAACTCCAGATTTATCCGTGCACTTTGAAAGACTGTCACTTCTTTAAGCCGAGGTGTCAACCCATGGCATCCTCAAGCCCCGCCCTTTTTCTGACGCCCCATGATCCCCCTGGTGCCAGCATGCTCCCTGTGCTGCTCCTGTTCTGTCCTGTTTATGTCTGTGTCACTGACCTGGGGCGTTTATGCCTTTCTTTCTTCTCTCCCTCTCTTCCTGTCCTTCTCTCTCTCCCTCTCTCTCTCTCTCTCTCTTCCTCTCTCTCTCTCTCTTTCTTTGTGTCTTTTTTGTAGCTAGCCTGCCTTTCCTGATCATTGAGACTAGCACCATAAAGCCATACCAGCGCGGGTTTTACTGTTTGGACGAGTCCATCCGCTTCCCCCGAAAAGAGGGAGAGACCATTAGTGATGCCGTGCTTTGTGGCGTTGGCATTCTTATTGGCACCGTCTCTGTAAGTCGACCCTATAACATCTCCCTTTGATTGCTGCTTCCTTCTTCTCAGACTCCTAGATTCCTCTCATGGACATGTCATCAAGCGTCTTAGCTATTTGTTATAGAAAATTAAAAAGAAAAACACCCCTACACAGTGCCTTGCAGAATACCCATATTTTTTTTTTTTTAAAGTCTGCAAACTTCAACATATTTGGGATTATATGTAGTGGACTAACACAAAATAGCTCTATATAGTGGAGGAGAATTTGTTTTGAAAGTCAGAAAATTGGGACCTGTGTTTTTTATTCAGACCCTCTTTACACTGATACTCCAAATAAAATCTAGAATAAAATTCAGAGGCGGGAAATAAAGCCACAAATTGCGAACTTGAAAGAAAACGAGGTGCAAAACTAAAAATAATAATAATAATAATAAAACTGGGATTAAAGTCATATTACTATGACTTTATTCTCAAAATGTTGATTTTAGTCTCATATTATCACAACTCTATTCTTGTGTTATTTAAACTTTTGTAATTTTATTACTTTATTCTCATAATTTAATTTTATTCTATTTTTTTTATATTATTATTATGGCCTTAACACTCATACAAAAAAAGTGAGACTGTGGAAGTTCAGCATCCAGATGAACAGCCAGAATGAAATGAAATATGAATTTCCTAGTCAAAGCCCACACCTGTCCATAAAAATGTATGCATCTCTATTTTGATTTTAATTCACTTCTGATTTATGCACTACTATGTGTTTTGCTCTGTCACATAAAATCCCAATAAAACGTAAATGTGGAAAAACCTCTGCTGGACACTGTAAATGGGTCGTACATGTATCCCACCTCCATCTCTAGTTTGTTTTTTCACCCTTTATTCTTCAACTGCTGCTTTGAGTCATTTTTTTTTCCAATATTACCTTATTTTTATGACTGGTTAAGTAGGTCAGAGGTAGGGAGCTTAAAGAGTTAGACGTTTGGATAACTTAGATTACATGGACCAAAGAGATGCTGCTGGTTCCCATGGTGATCTCTGGTGCTCCACGCTGTGCCTTGGTTAAATGCGACGTTGTTCTCTCCCATGACGTCGGAGCCTCATTAGTTGTGTTTCCATTGACCATTTGGCATTTCGAAAAGAAATTCACTTAAGGGAAACACCCCAATTTAGAAAAAAAAGTCTTGTTTTTTTTTTTTTTTATAAAACATTTTGGAACTGGGATGAGATGGATTTTTGGTCATGTAGAAATGAGTTTATTTCACAGTGGAAACCCTTTTGTTTTTCGCTTCACAAGAGTCGTGATCAGCAACTAGCTGTTGCTACTGGCGCAAACCACGAAGTAGACGACAAGAAGAAGTTGGAGGATGTTCTGTAATGACTTATCACAAACAAACTTACTCACATGTGATTTTAATTGCGTTTTTTTTTTGTTTGTTTTTTTTGTGGAAACACAGCAATTGCGAAATTGTGGAAGGGGGTATTTCAGCTGAATATTGACAAAGTTTTTCTGCATTTCTAATGGAAACACAGCTAATGATAGCCCGGAGTGTCTCACAGCATGAAGCTCTTGTTGGTGTTACTGTGTTCATACTTGAGTAAAACGGGATAACTCCAGTGCCGTGTGAGCAAATTATGATGGGGCCAGGCGTCATGGAAATATACTTTAATCAATTGGTGCCACATGGTTAGTGTAGGTGAAGTTTACAGTCCCCAGACTTAGGGGTTCCCAGGCTCAGTGGCGTCTCGTTGCGATCTCCTTAGTGGGCACACACACACACACACACACACACATTTATATACACTGTACCACAGTACCAGCTCAGCTCTTCTGCTTATTGAAAGCAGGAGGAGGAGTAACAGTGGGCTAGTTAGCCCCCCCTCGCATGTTCACATGTGGGCAAAGCTGGCGTGTCTCACACAGCTGTCTTCCATTAGTGGCGTCTACTGCCATGCCAGCACCGTTCCTGCTAACAAGCTTGTGTACACACATAGATGCACGCATGTACACAAATGCACTTGGTGTAGAAGAAGAGCAGATTCCACTTCGGCTCGAAGCGTAGGATGCGTCTGCTCCGACGCGGCCAGAAACCGAGGGGATAAAGCAGGAGTAGTGGAGCTCTGACTGTAAATGCTGAGAATCCAAATAAACTAGTGTGCACACTTCTAATCTTCCACTCTGATCAGAGCGATTCAGTCCACCATCCTGTTTGTTTCTGCTGGTTATGAGTCATTTATCTGCCCACACGGCGCTGAGGAAAGGCTGGGATATCGACACTGAAAACTTAAAAACATAACACTCAACAGCAGGGTTCATATTCCATTAACATGGCTTGTCTCATAGTCATCTTAAAAAGAATTTCATAGGAAAACAATTGTATAAACTCTCTAAAGTCATGGGAGAGAAATCAGACTTATCTGGCTACGACATATAGGCAGATGACAATGGACACCTTTTGGATGTCTAACTTGCGAGAATCATCATTTAGTTTGTGGATCAGAAGAACACAGTAAAGAGAAAATGGGCACTTTAGTTCAGGGGCATTTACAAGGGTCTGTAAGTAACCCTTATAGTATCTTCATGCTGTATAAATCCAGATTTGCTCCAAAGAGAGGCTGAATCTAATGGCCCATTGCCAAGACGAAACCCACGCTTCCTGTTTTAAACACTTCTCAAAAACACGATGGTTTAAACAAACGGTATTTGCGAACACGTAGTCTTCTGTGACATTTTCACCCCCAGTCATAGTGATTTGTTGAACTTTGATCATTCCCCTCACCCCTCCCGCACATCTGAGCTTTTGTTATTGTGTTTATCATTATGCAAAGCCCTTTCATTCTTCCTCCCTCCATCTGCCCAAACTGCCTAATGGAAAGGCAGGCCATGCTTAATATATGTGTTTTTTTCTGTGTGCATCTTCTGCTTTTTGTTCTTTACATACCGTCTACTAAATCTCACTCCCCATCCTGGAAATAAGTTTGAATTTTTTATTTTTTTTTATTGTTTTTGCATGATTCGTACTAAAACATTAACATGTCGTAGTGCCTCATAGTGCCTTGCATGTAAATCCATTCTCTACCTGTGGGCTTCACAAGCACTCGTCTTACCCTCATGAACAATTTGTTTCTTTTAGATCGTGATCGGAGAATGCTTCAGGATTCACCAGCTGCACGTGGGAACCAAGTCGTTTGTTGGGAATTCTTACGTGGCAGCGCTCTACAAACAGGTCAGCTCGGGTTTTGCTCAAACGCTGAACTCCCACCACAGACACAGCATCTTCTCAGCTGCAGATCAGAGGTCGGATGGTAATTGTGCCACTGAGGGAGAGCGAGCTGCAGCGTCGGCGGCGGCGGTGCTGGAGGAAGTGAAATTACGAGAACAATGCATTTCCACGTTTGTCAGCGTGATCGCTGCTTTGATTAAAATCAAAGCCTTGTTATTTTTGGCATTTTCAAAAGACTCTAAGAAACATTTGATGTAAACAGATAGGTTATCTGAAGACATCAATGAACCATTTAGCGATAAAGTGATAAAGTTCCTCGGAGCATATTAATCCCCTGCTGACAGAAAGTCTAGATACTGGAAATGAGAAACCTGGCTAAGAACTTATAAACTCTCTCTTATAAATCGGTTTCTTAGGAAGGCCAGGACTTTAACTCATTCATTTGAATTATTTAGTTACATAGAATTTAACGTGTTAAAAATTTTAATACAATTAATTGCATATTTTCTTTTTAACATACGAAAGTTCAGAGCGGAACCTTTGTTATTCACTTGTCGTCAGGTTCGGCCGTAAATCGATGGGCAACAAAAACACTTCTCTCTAAAACATTTGAATTGAGTCCCCCGTCTTATTCCTATCAGTGCTTCCACTGTGTTTAATTTTTGTCTTCTGCATTCCGCATGTATCTGACCCTCACTGCGCGTCGTCTTGCAGATAGGCGTGTTTCTGTTCGGCTGTGCCGTCAGCCAGTCGTTCACGGACATCGCCAAGGTGTCGGTGGGTCGGATGAGACCCCACTTCCTAGACGTCTGCAAACCGGACTTCTCCACCATCAACTGTTCCCTCGGATACATCACCAACTACACTTGCACCGGGGACGAGAGCGAAGTGCAGGAAGCCAGGTGCGTAAAGACGCGACCGTGCGTTCACACGAAAGCACTCCTCGAACATCTAAACAGAAAAAAAAACCTATGGGCCTAAAAATAATCTCTTTCTCCCTCTGCAGGAAATCCTTCTTCTCAGGACATGCCTCCTTTTCCCTGTTTAGTATGCTCTACTTGGCTGTAAGTAATCATTATTTTCTCTCACGCGCTTGCGGCTTCATTGGCAGACAATAACAGGAACAAAGCGTTGCATTGTTAAAGGCAGTCATGAGAAGAAAGAAGGCTGGGCTCTGATTAGGGGATTCAAACTAAATATTGTTTTGCTTCTTTCATCACGTCGTCTCCTCCCTCGTTTTTATGCTTCCTTTGAACCCCGAGGAGACGAATGGGTGTTTCTCCACCTGTTTTCTTTAGGGCAGCTGCATGTTCATTTCCTGTTCTGTCCCTTTAACCTTGTGGGTGTCAGGTGAGACTCAGAGCTTCGGGGCTGAATCAGGCCTCTAATGGTTTTAATTACAGTCCTTTGCCAAAAAAGTTATGCAGGTTGATTTTTTTATTTTTTATTTTAATTATTATTATTTATTTCTTCTCTTGTCACCTGAAAACCGCAAAACTTTTTCCAGGGTTGGGACAACCTTAAACATATACAGTCTGGGCTACAGTTAGATCAAAGTCTGAACTTTAACTAGCCCAGTGAACGTTCAGACTTAAATTCAATTTACGATCCAGAGGCAAGAGAGGTTTGAGCATTTTTTGCTGGGGACTGCTGACACTAAAACAAGAGCGTCTCTTTTGTTCCTACGTTTATATAGCGACAGTTTTAACCTCGCTTTACGTGCCTACGAGGAAAAGACATAAAATCAAGGAACCGGTCATTTTGCCAATCCGCAGTGAAATTTTAGCCGGATCGCCTTTGTTGCACATCGGCGAAACTACAGAAACAGAGAGTTTTGGGGGGGTCAAATTCAGTCGCCTGCTGATTAAACTCCAAAGTGAAAAAGGCGAGTGTATGCCACTTGATACTGTTGTCATTCAGCTGATTATGCAACGCCAGCAGTGACTTGTCTGGTCTGCAGAGAGCACCAAAATGGGACAGCAACTGGTGATCAACAAGGACGCCTTTTTTTTTTGTTTGTTTTGTTTTGTTTTGCAGTAATTGGTGCAGCCGATGCATACATAATAAAATGTGGTGACAGGCCAGCCCCGGTTCTCACACCGAATTGACGTTTGGAAGTTCGGTTTATTGTCGCGTACCGCCATGGTGAGACGGCTTGTTGTGGGTATTTCCCAGCCTCTGGGTGAACCTACAACCACACTCTGGGCAGAGCGTGGAGTAGAGCTAAATAAAATGTCAGGAGGAAAAGAAAAAAAAAGAGCAGAGAGGGATTGGAGATGTGCTGCATCCAGGCCACAGCTTAACACACTAGTCAGACCGATGCTCTAGATCTGGCAAACCCCAGGACTCCGGCCAGAGGAGGTTGGTCTAAACAAGGGGATGGAGAGCAGCTGATGGGTGCAAAGGAGAGCCCTGACAGTTTTTAGAGAACATTTCAGTGTACATAACCCAACCAGAAAAAAAAAAAAAAGAGCCAAGAGCAAAGACATTCTTTGTGGAAACAGGAACTGGCTGGATTCTTTTTTGTTTGTGCCAGCTGAAAACCAGTCATGTGACTTTAGACCTGGCACCCTCTCTCGTGAAGTCAGCTTAGAACAGTTTCTTTGGGTTTTCATAGTTTAATTCAATATGCAGTCATGTATAAAAACAAAAAGCCCACCCTGACGGTTTCCAAAGGAGTCAAGAGGGATAACAGTAAACAGTATTTCTCGGATGGATTATGAGTTTACTTCCAAACAAGCTGAAGTACGTAGTAGAAAAAAGTATTCCCAACAACAAAACATTCACCATAGCAGCTAATCTTCCAGCTAAGGAGCAGCTAAGGAGTTGGTGTGCCAGCAAGTTTATCCCGATTTCAGACCCTGCAGAGCACCAGACTTACGACTTTTATCATTCAGTTTCTTGTAAAAAGAGAAAGAAAGTTACCAACAAGCAGAGGTTTAACCAAGAAACAGTGTTCAAGTCATTACATATTAAAATGTTTTGGAAAACACCATGGACCTGCTCTCTTTCAGCATTATTTTTACAAGCCAGAGTCACTAGTTGCAATACTTCTCATTGCAGGTTTTTTTTGGGGTTCCATTTGTATCAAAAATAAGTAGAAGTCATATGTGTAGATGTGTCGTTGCTATGTGTCGTTGGTCTATGTTGCATGTAGATGATGCATTTTTTGATACAAATGGAACCCCATAGAGTCTCATGACAAGTAAAACATCTTTATACCCACTTTGCATTTGTGGTATTTTCAGTATGATGAAGGGTCCCTTCTGTGAATTGGAAAATCTGAATTTGGCAAAGCACGCAATCAGTTTTGTTTTGTGCTCAACAAATCCCCCCCTTCCTACCAGCACGAAAAAAAGAAAAGATGGGTTCTTCCCCTCATTCTCTGATCGTGTCTTTGCTCAGAAAGCATCAAACAGTCATTTCCTCACCGCCTCTCTGTGATTCTGAATCTTACCGCTTCCTGCCCGGTGTCTTGTCGGGCCGCCGTGGTCGGAGCTGTGCCCTGCTCTGCTCATTCTGAAACGACACAGATAACTGGCACCGACCACGCGGCGCGCAGCAGCACCTCAGCCATGTGCGTGTATTCTGACTGGCTTGCTTTTTCTCTCGTCTGCACGCAACATTAGCATAAGTACATGCCATCCGGCAGCAAACGGGGCCCGTCGCTTTCATCAAACAGGAAACAATATTTGCGTTTGACATGCGAGCGGCTCTGCTGTGTTCCTTTCGTCTCAAAGCGGAGAGAGTGGAAGAGAGCTGCGTGTGAAACGAGTCCGCGTCCTCATTCCTTCTCGCTTTGTTGTGTTTGTTTGTGCTGCCCAGCGCGTTTAACACTTTGGACTTTGAGTCCGAGCAGCAGAAACCCCTCAGGGAGTGGGGTCTCAGCGGAGGCCGAGCTGGATTCTTTCGGAAACCGCCAGACTGTTTGCCGCTCCCGGGTCCCCGGTGTCATGGGAATCTGCCGCGGCTCCTTTTGTTGTGTTTTACTGTCGCGTTCCTCGGATCCTATTATTGGAGACAAATTATAGGCGGGAGATGTGGAGTTTTAAAAGGGACAAGTTTTTCCTTCATACGGTCGTCGACTCTCTTATCGTGACTTTCTTTCAGCTTCTGCTGAATCAGGCTTTAGCTGGGCCATCTGGGTCTACTCACTGTAGATAAGGTGCTGTTGTCTGGCAGGTCAGTGCAAGTCTTTGTTTTGACGAAGATCAAGGCATTATTTCTTTCACCTTTAATCTCTGACGAAGCTTTCTCGACTTCATAAGCCGCGGGTGGCGGGAAGCTCTGTGACTCAAGTCCTTATCGAGAGCCCAGGCCCTCTACCTGACGACCGCAGCAAAGGAAGGCTGCAGTCTAAACATCGCAGGGAGGAGGAGACCGAGACAAGAAGGCATGGGCGGGATCGCTTCCTTCGAGTTTGAGAGCAGAACAATAATTTAGTACCGGGGAGGAAATCTGTGGAAGATTTACAGCCACACCTTCAGTGCTGAGAAACATGTTTGTCCCTCTGACAGAGTTCTTCTTCGTTTCCTTTGCAACTTAAGGTTTCATGTCATCAAAACACATTTTAAGATCAGACAACACAACCCTGTAGAATGGAGTAGAGCTGAAGCGATTAATCGATTTAATCGTGATTAATCGGTTATTGAAATAATTGTCAATGAATTTAGTAATCAATTAAATTGTTAACTGGAGTACGGTATACAGATTTTAAAAAATGACCATAACCCCCTACGCCTATGCTTCAGGCAATAAAATATTCATTTTCTCATTAAAATGTGAATCAAGTCATTTGTTTATTTGCATTTTTTAATGTGTTTCTAACATTGTACAGAATGGCTTAAATGAAAACTCAGCAGAATTTGCTAATTTTTTTTTCATGCAATTAATCAATTAGTTACAAGAACAGTCGCTAGAGTAACTGAGCTGAATGCTAAAATAATTAGTTGGAGCCCTAAAATGGAGTTTTCAAATGTTTGAATTTTATTTTATAAAGTAAAGAGAAATCTAACTAATCCAACCACATTATAAGTCAATTGTGTTTGACCACATCTATTTTTGAAAGCTACCCACACCGCGGCCTGATTACTGTCAAACCTTTAGGATCAAGAAATCACTTAAACATACGTAACAATGTGAAACTAAAACAGCTTTTTAGAAAAGCGTCACACCTACACAGGGAGGTGGTCGTGTGATGGTTTGGGTCTGGAATCAAGAAGTCTGCCGGAAAACCCTGGAGTATTTCCCTGCACATATTGTTAACTCAGTGGATTAGATGACTTATTGGCTCAGGCCGTCTTTCGCAGGAACTCTGACTATTAGGTGTGAGAGACAGGAAGCTGAGGGCATGTCTGTGTGCAGAAACACAGGATGTCCACAGAACCTGGGTCGACCTCAAACCTCTTACATTTTAAGTGAATGAAGGGGGGGGGGAAGAGCAAGGATGTGTATGTTTTGCACTCAAGCAAGTGACTGAAAGTGGCCTTGAATTGACTTGTTCCTGTTTTGGATCCCTTCAGCTTTTATTTTGACCCAGAAAGCAGTCTGGGTCTGGGAGCGGGGTCAGACGGAGGGAGACGCTTCCATTTTATTTGCAGTTCACACCAAGACAAAAAAAAATAAAAAAAAATTGGCAAAGAGTTCATCACAAGTAAAAGCATTGCTGAAACATCCTCTTTTAGATTTACATCAATGTGTGTGTGTGTGTGTGTGTGTGTGTGTGTGTGTGTGTGTGTGTGTGTGTGAGTCCGTGTGTGTAATCCACTGGTTCCCTGTGGTTGTGCTGTTATTACAGCTGCGATGTGTAACCATTAATCAGTCATGTCCGGATCTCTCAGTCAGTCAAGCATGAGCTTGTGTTGTGGATGTGTCTCCCCTGCCCACTTTGATTCAGTCTAGACCTCTCAGACTGTAATAACACACACACACACACACACACACACACACACACACACACACACAAACACACATGCTGCAGGTGCATGGATGAAGGAGGACTTGAATAAAATTACACTGATTTTCTTCCCCTCTCTGTCTCCAGTTCTACATCCAGTCCAGGTTCACTTGGCGTGGCGCTCGCCTCCTCCGCCCGCTGCTCCAGTTCACCTTGGTGATGATGGCCTTCTACACCGGATTGTCACGCATCTCCGACCACAAGCACCACCCGACTGATGTGCTGGCGGGATTTGTGCAGGGAGCCCTGGTGGCCTACTGCATAGTGAGTCTGCGCCTGACACCATCCATGCTAAAATAAAACTTTCTGCTGAGTAGGAATATAAGGCAAACTTAAAAGAAAGTTGGGGTTTTATGAGACACGAAAGGAAGTCATTGTTGAGAGAGAAGTAGCATGTCTTTTTTCATGGAACTGGACTCAGGGCAAACCCAGAAGAAAACCTTTTTAAAGTTCCCAAAAATATATTTTTCAAATATATACATATTTTTTTGTTCAGATTTTTGAAAACAACATAGAGCTGGACAATAAATCAATAACAATATATATCGCGATAAACAAGTGATCGATATCAATAGACATTACTGAACCGCACAGCATTCTGGGGGATGTAGGCAGGGGAAAGGTTTTAGCCGCTCGGCCTCTCACAGCTTGCAAACCGAGGCTGGTGGCACCAACTAAATCACTCTCCCTATGGTTACTTAGCAATAATCTGCTAACAAGTCAACTTTCAGCCGTTTCAAGTTTCGCCACGATGACTTCTAACTTCTTAAAAACAAAAAGCGACGCAGTGGAGTGAAAACTGTGGATAACGCAGGAAAGATCACGCCACCACTTGCCTGTATTTCAGATATTTAAAACAAAAAAAAAAAAACAAATACAAATCAATAATTATCGTTATTGAATGATGCGAAACACTGATGTGTTCAGCCTATATTGTCCAGTCCTAAAACATCTTTTCCTTTATCTTCACAATTCTGCACTAAGTATGTGGCTGTAAGAAAATGTGAAAAAGTGTACATATATATGTATATATATACTTTAGCAGGTAGTGAAGTGAAGAGCCCATAATGGCCCATAATGAGTAACACATTGCTGGGGCCGGGTCTTTGTTCAGGGACGCAGACACTCCAACCTTCCTCCCTGCTAAAGCTACATATCATCCAAGTGGTTTCCAGATGATTTTTCTAACCCTCATCATTACTCTAAGCTCACATGGAGCCAAGGAAAATTTGAAAATGGGTCAAGAGAATGACGAGCAGGGTGTTAAAAAGAGAGAGAGGGTGAGTAAGAAAGAAAGGATTAGGCTTTGAAACCAGAACGAGGCTGGTAATTATTGTGGTGGGGGTTTGGGGGGATTTATTTTTTTTTTATTTTTGTATTTGGTGGCTCTGGTTGTATCAACACAGCAGGCTCCAGCTACAACTACGCTGCCTCTGGCAAAAAGACGGGAAGGCGCGCGAGCGCAGCCCCCGCCCGCTCTCTAACTTTTGCGCCCGGACGAGGGATGGAGAATGTGGAAAGAATTAGATTTCGTAAAATCGAGGGAGAGCTCAGCAGTGGTGCCTGGGCAGATGTTGGGATCGCACGCGGTGCGACGGCGTTCCGGTGATGCCAGGGGGGGGGTGTTAAAGGATTTGTGATCAGAAACCTGAGCGCAACAAAAAAACAAAATAAAATAAAAAAAGACTCAAACTCCAAAAAAAAAAAGCCGGCGATCCACCAGCTGGGCGCAGCTCGGGGTTGACGGCGTCGGCCTTGACGAGTGAGAAAATGACGTTTTTTGGAGAGAGAATGAGAGAGAGGGCGCTGAGTGTGTGCGAGCCTGACCTCCGAAGAGGCAGGCCTGGCAGGAGGACAGAAGGGAGGGAGGTGACAGGAGAGAGGAGCCTTGTCTTCGCCTTGGCTCTGGATGACTGTGTGGGTTTCTCCCGAATCCACAAACCTCCCCGCCTCGCAGCAAGACAGCTTAATGCTGACATTATTCACATCCGCACACATATCCATATGTACAGGCACGCTGTGAAAGCTGGGGTCGATCAAGGCGGTGAGGTTAGCTTTACAATCCCCGACACCCCCGCCGTTCCCCCCGCCCCACCCTCCTCTCTCAGATCGGCCCCCCTCTTTGGAGAAGCGCACATCTGTGAGCACTTTAGCACGGCTGCGTTAGCCTCTTGGCGAGCGGCGGAGCAGAAAGGGCCTGACAGGAGATGAGTGGAGGCCTGACGGAGGAGGTGCAAACGCTCAGCCGCTTAGAAGCTCAAAGCCTGAAGCCCTAAATCAAGGTGTGAACATCTTTAGATCTTCAGGTAACGGCTGCACATGTTTCAACCCCCCTCCGAGTCTGTTAAAGTGAGAAATGAAGAACTAAAGCGTGAGTTCACACCTCCAGACCCTGCACAACCCAGAAGCTGATTTTTTTCTCTCTTCTCTGTTTCTAACTGCATGTGTATTTGGTGGAAGATGTTCTGTATATTAATACATTTTGGGGGGAGATTTATCTTTGTTAGATGCAGTTGTGAGCTACATAAAAAAAAAAAACTAAAAAAAAAACTTCTCATTATGCAAATTGTCACAAATACAGCAGCTTTGACAGTTACATATAAACATTACATTGTTAGAACAGCTTGATTTGCTCACTTTGTGGTTTCCCTGGGATTTTCCCCAGTGGACTGTCGGTACCAGGCACAGCTTTAGCCTGCTTTCCTTCACAACTCCGCTCGATTCTCATCCTCTTTCAGTGCTCCGTCTGGGATTTCTCCCATTGAGCTCAATTTCTTCTGTTAGCTGTCAGCCGGTCCAATCAGCAAGCAGAAAGAGAAGTTGTGAAGTTGCTCCATATCAAAAAGAAACTTTAACTGCAGGAACCAAATGATGGGAAATGTTTTAAACCTTGGTTTTCTTCTATATGGGTAACCAACCCTTAAAACAGTGTGAAGGTATTTCTTGCCAAGTACGTGGTTGAGGTGCAAATACACTCACAGGTATTTACACGCAAGTTTTATTCTTAGAGACCTGGTCGTCGCTGTTGGGCTGTACAGCCCCTAATTTTAGTGCAGTCACGTCCTTTGTGACTCAAGCTTTCTCAGTGACTGGGGTAATTTTTAATGATGGTTAGAGATCTTTAGGTGAAGACTCATTGTTTGTGCTTCAGGTGTGAGGCAAGAAAGTGCTGAGTTGCTTTCCTCAACTGGATGCGTCACGATCCAACCCTCCAGCCCTGGGTGGCAAGAGCCTCCTGCCGCTGGATTTTATGGTTTTTAAGTGCCCTTTGTTCAGATTAAAGCACAATTTTTATATTACTCTTTTCATAGTAACACAAGTATAACAGGCTGATATGAAAACTGTAGTTTTTTTAATATTATATTGACTCGGTAAAGGTAATTCCTGGGATATGTTTGGTTTTCGTCCCAAGGCGGTGGTAGTTTGTAGCAACTGGAAATATGCGTTAGTTTCAAATGTTGCCTTTTTGTAAGCAAAGGGGGAAGTGTACAAGCCTTTTTTAAGCCATCTGATTGGCAGGGTGCAGCTTCTCGGACAGCAGACATAAATATAATTTTACAACTGAAATAGATTCTTTTGAAACCTAAAATGTTGCACTAATGATTAATGAGCAAGTTCAGTTCTTTAGCTCTTTGAGCAATTTATTTACAAACAAAAACCTTGGTTTGAGAGATGAAGTTCAGTTCAGGTTAAACATTAGAGGCTCTTCTAATGCAGAAACTATTTGTTTCATGTTTCCAGATGAGGAATAAATAATTTGATAATATGTTTTCGTATTTTCTCCACATTTAAAGATCAACAGTGAGATACAACTGGCATGAACTTTAGATTTGAACTTTAGACTCTCAGGATAACCTTGACAGAAAACATGACACATGACGTATAAGAAACCCATATGGTCTTATTCTTTTTCTTTTTTTTTAAGCAGCAATTCCTCTGTCTTCTGATAAAATAACTCTATACATTACCCATAACAATATCGCTTTTACATCATTTTGTTTTTTTTAGCTTTGATACATAGACCCGGTACATAGTTCCCACACCATCGGTGTTTTTTGGCAGTGAGACATATTTCCGTTTTTTTTTTTTTTGTTTGTTTTTTTTTGGTTTATTTATTTATTTAGAACAGACAGAAAAGACAATCAAGAAAAAAGAAAATTAAATAAAATAGAATGAAACAAACTTAATAAATAAAAACATAAAACAAATTATTCTGCCCATGTGACATGCAAATTTTATATTTTCTGTTCTAAAAGGAGCAGGTAGAAGATATAATATCTTATAATGTCCTGCCCTTTTTCTACTTGTCAATTTATAATCAATTAACTTTCAGTACATCAAAAGAGACAACTTGAGATATGTTCACTTGTATTTGCCTGTCAAGCGAGGAAATAGTGCGGTGGCCGACTGAAAGCAACAACTGGGCCAAGTTTAATGTGGGTTGGAGCTGCAAACATACCCACAGCCAGTTACATGCATGTGAAAACAAGTTCACAGTTCTATCCTCAGACACACGAATGACCTGATTAGTTTTGTTGTCTTTTTTTATTGTACATTCCCTAAAGTTAGTGCAGTCACGTCCTTTGTGACTCAAGCCTCTTAATGTGTCTGGGGTCATTTTTTCAGCACCTAACCAGAGACTTTCTTACTCATGCCTTTGGAGATTCATCTCTTGTGCTCCAGGTGAGGCAAGAAAGTGCTGAGTTGCTTCGCCCGACAACAACGGGGCTACAGGGCTTTGCATGCCTGTGTCAGCGGCAGGATGTGGTGTGGTCACGATAACCCCCCTCCAGCCTGGCAGCTGGGGAGCGATAGGTTGGTGTTTTGGTGACGCAGCAACCGCGCCCGGCTGCCATTGGACGCCGATGGGAAACGAGCGCAGAGGGTTTCCCATGTGGGCTCGCGTGACTCTGGAAGATATGAACTCACATCCTTTCCGCTCTCCTAATCATATCATAATATTCTACATGGGATACACACACACACACACACACCATCCGCTGCGTAGTGAAAGAGCCCGTTTAGGGAAGTGTGACAGCGGCTGTGTGTATCTGCAGCTTATCTATCGCTTACTGTTCTCCAGCGATGGTCACTGAGTGGTCAGGAAATGTCAAGCTCTCGCAGAAAAGGCGCCCTTTGTGCCGATCATAGCCTTCAAAATGAGATGCTTGAAGTCAGAGTGTATAAATACATCAGTGACCACATGTTGAGCAGTTTTCCAGAAAACAATGATGGAAGTCAAATTGGTTCCTCGGGGTATTCCCGAGTGTAGGAACGGCTTGTGAAATCCCTGCTGGATTTTATCCCCTGGCTTCGCGAAGCCGGCTGTCCTGGCAGAGTGTGATGGTAAATGCCAGGCGTTACTCTTAACTTCTTCAGCGTGCTTGAAGGAAAAGCAGCTCCGCCGGCCAATTCTTTGTGCCTGGCCAAACCACCGTTTGTCATGGGTGACCCCGGGGTCGAGGGCGTGAACGTAGGAGTTCACTGTTAAAATGCTTTCACGCTTCCTGTCCAAGCCTCGCTGTTTTCATGTTTGACATATGACGTCGCTGAGATTCCAGAAAGAGATTTCATTTTGGATTTTTTTTCCCCCTCCACTATTTCTCTTCCTTTGTTCATCAATGCCAAGGAGACTTAACTCATGCGCTGATGTAAAGGTTACCTTTGGTGACATGTCGCGATTTGCCAAAATCTGATATTTTAGAGTGAGTCATGCTTGACCCAATGTCCTCAGTTGTATTACTCAGACTTGAACTGCACAAAATGGGATGAAAAATTTGAGGAAACCAGCAGGATGGAGTGTTTCTCTTAATCATATCATAATAATAATAATAATAACAATAATGTAGCATGAAAAAAGAAAGAGGAGTTGTATATTTAGTGTGCTCTTCTTTTAAATTGCTCTGAATTATTCATATCCTACAAGTTTCTTTAAAAAAAAATCAAATTATTTTAAACATATCCTCATTACTCTGTCTTTAGAAAGACTGGACTATAGATGTAGTATTTCACTATGTTGTGCAAGATGCTTGAAACTGAAAGTGAAACTGGCAGCTTGACCTGCTTTCTGATTAATTCTGCTTATGTTCAACAGACTACTGGGGGGCACTGCTAGAGCCTTGACATGCTACTCTCAGTCAACATGACAGATTATTAAATAAGTAAAAAGAGATGTTGACGTCATGGAAGAAGTGATGCGTCCTGAAACAAAGCAACAATGAAATCCACACCCTTGATCCAAATAGAGATGCACTATTCAGAGCAGAAGAAGCTGCCAGGATATTCCTCATCAAACTTAGGCTAAAACCTCAAGAACATAAAACAGATTCACTTTGCCACAACATGTTCAGCCTTCCTGTTGTCTGCGATCCCAACATCTGCTAGTTTGAATGAACAGCTTGATTGTATCAGCTGTAGCTTCCTAATATAGCACACAGTAACAGCATCCATTTTGAAGAGTGCTGATGCTAGCAAAGCCACATAGTGCTAAGTTGTGGTGAGTTTAGTGAGTGGAAAAAGATTGGATCTTTGAGTTTTTGACGGGATGGTCAAAAACTCAATGTACAGCGTCATTCATCTGTCAGTGTCTTTGCACATCACTATTTATTTATATGGTAGTTTTCTTCGTCATGACAATTTGTGTTATTCGTCACATTTCATTCAGGCTACGGTTGCAGAATCACAATCCACTGAAACCTAATGAAGAAAATCCCCAGAAAATGCTCTTCCTTTCCTTCAGACCTCCTAACTTTTCCCCTGCATCCGTTTCCTCCAGGTCTTCTACGTGTCCGACCTGTTCAAGCCGGGGCTGAAGCTGGCCACGCCGCCGCCCTCCCCGATCAAGAAGGAGCTGCTGCCTTCGTCCGACATCATCGACAGGAACAACCACCACAACATGGTGTGAGGGAGGCCCCACTTCCTTCGCCCTGACCGAGGAGCCGATCGCAGCGCTGCTCATCACTCCCCTCTCCCTCACCCGCTCCCACCCCGAGCCCCTCATCGGACAGTAGAATGTAGCGACAAGACACTGTAGCTGCTTCCTCCTCCCCATCCTCCCATTGAGGCGCTCACATGTGGACCAGGGTGTCAGATTTGAGATTTGCACAGCAGAGTCCACTCTCACTACCCAGACTTGTTGTCTCCCTAATATACTGGTAACTACTAATCAACATTTGAGCCCATCTGTTTGTCTGTCGGAGCACAAGCAGAGAAGAACCTGAGAGATGAACGAGAAAAGCAACAAAAAAAAAAAAAACACAAAAAACCCGATGAAAACTGATGAGCTGACGGCAGGAACTGCAGTTGCAGAGGTTTGACTGAAGCGGAGCCACGCGAATGAAACCGGTGGACTGTAAAACCCCTGAGCAGCGAGGAGACGGACCCTTCCTCTCCCAACCCTGTGAGGCCTTGGACAACAACTTCCTCAACCGAGGGAAGGATCTTAACTTCAATAGTTAGCAGCAGAGAATATAAGCGAGATAGAAATATGTAACTGAAAGCACTGTTTGAACTTCATTGTCCGTTATCACCACTTGCTGCCTGAGTTGTTTGGCCGATAAAGGAATAAAAAAAAAAAAAAAAACTTGACAGCGTTGAGCCCTGAGACGGGGTCACGTCTTGACCGACGCAAAACTCAAAGGCCTTTCGCAGAGCTCTTTTTGGAAAGTGCACAGCCTTACATTGTCTCTGTCTCAGCATCAGCCTGTCATGTTTTTTTGTTGTTTTTTTTTGCGGTCGACTCTCAGTGCAGCCCAAACCCGGGATGTTGCAGTTCTCGAAGGTAGACGTAGTAACGGGGGGGAAGGGAGCATTATCTGTGGAAGAAGGCAGGTTTTCCTCCCAGCAGCTTCCCGACAGCCGTGTGGTAGGCGTGGCTGCGCCGTGCCTCCGCCGGGCGTTGGGGGGCCACCTGCCTGGGATTCCAGACAGGTGGAGGAAGCGAGAGGGGCCCGTTACCATGGAGAACAGGGTCATGAGCTCCAACTAAAGCTGGCACATCGTTTTAGGGATGATTCAGGCTCCTTCTGCTGGCAGAGAGGAGCGTTCACCCACCCAGTCCGTCATCGTCAATGGATGCTCGTCTCTCAGTGCGCGTGTGTGTGTGCGTGTTTGCATGTGTGTGTGTGTGTGTGTGTGCGCGCTTGTTGTCGTATGTTACGTCATGTGTGTGTAGCAGCGCTGTGCCGTGTGAAAAGGAACTCCCTCTTGATAAAACTGTGGTGTGTGTGACAGCTAAAAACACACACAAAGCACGCCGTCGGCTGTGCAAAGTGTGTGTTGGCGTGTGCCACTGTGTGTCGCGGAGCGAAATGAATGTTCTAAAAACTGTGGATCTAATATTTTATCTGAGGAGCATCTTTAACCTTGCATGTGCAGAGGTAGCCCTGTGTAATCACTAACAGTTACCGGACACAGAGGTGCTTCTTTTTAGTTTTATTTTTTATTTTTTATTTTATTTACAGCCCACCCAGACTTCCTCGCCCAACAACACACCACTATGTTGCACATCTTTTCTTTTCTTCCACTGTATAGTCCGTCCTATCAATTTCACCAAGCCGTTCTCACTCTTTTATTTTTATTTTGTTTTATATAAATATATAAATAATGTATAGATCACTAATATGAACTCTGTAAAATATTAACATATTTTAGATATATCCACTATAATTACAGACCTGTGTTCTTTACAAAATGCTGCTTAAAAAGCATCGATTGACAAGATTCTTTTGTATTTAGATGAAACTATTGTAGATTGTAATAGTTACGTTTGTAATATGTATTAAAAAAAATACACCCTCGATTGTATTGAAACTCGATATTAGTATTTTTGTATCGTCTCGTTTTTTTTTTTTTGTACAAACAAAATGTAGTTATGCTGCTTTTGTTTTTTGTTTGTTTTTTTTCTGCTAAATGTATTTAGCTCCGATATATGTGCTTTTAAATAAAAAGCTCATTATGAACACATATTTTGGCTGAAGATGTTTCTCTTGGTTTGATGTCCTTGTAACTTCGTGTTCCCTCCGGTATTTTAAGGGTTAATTTGGGGGGGGGGATGAGCTCCAAGCCTTTGAGGTAGGAGGGACACTGTGCCATCACCCTAATCTTCAGCTCCCTCCAAAGATCCGATTTAATCCAGGACTTTGGCTGGGACACTCAAAAGCATTAATATCACACGTCAGAAAAGACATGTTGGTTGAATTAAAGGATTAGTTTCAACCAAAGAGAGAAAAACTTTTCTTTCTTTTTCATATGAAAAATAGCGGTGCCATCAATTAAAAAAAAAACAAAAACGTCTGGTTAGCTGAACATTTAAGCCTCTTCTGTTAGATCACTTATTTTTTAACAATCTGATGCCAGAGAACAAAAGACATTTTTAGAATTTTATGGATCTGTAGAAAGTTTTTAAAGCAGAACTTTAACCTGATATGTAAACTAAAAACTGCTTTTCAGAAGAATAGGTGGCAAAAAAAAACAACAAAAAACATCCATCTAATGTAGACAAACAACAGAAAGAAAGATAAAGATAAAGAAAGATACAGTTGTGGTCAAAAGTGTACATACACTTGTAAAAACTCATAATGTTATG